ACCATGTCAGGCAATACCCAGATCAGTGTGATCGACTTGATGGACGGTTTTTATCAGATTTGACGCGCAAATAACTATGCCGCTAACTACTGTTTGTACATCCAGGGCATCTCTGTGAGAATGGATTAGGAAACCTCAGGGAATAGAGAACGCACTGTCACATTTAAGGGGTGATGGTATCTAACCTTCTCCGTCCATTCCAATATTGCCGGAATCTACATGACAACAGTTTTATCTATAGTCGGGCCGAATATTGCAAGACCGATACAGGAGTTCACCTCCAGCATTTACAGCATGTATCCATGTAAAGCGAGAGAATAAGCTCTAAGCCATCTTGAAGAATTTCTTTTCTGCGCTCCAGATATCCGTAGAAAATTGAAGCCATATCCCCTGGCGTCCACCCCAAGATCCGAATCAATTCAACAATGGCTGGGGCTCCCACCGTATGTCCACAACTACTCGAAGAATTTCTCTTTGACCGCGCGACCGCTATTGCAGCTACTTAAGGCGGATGCCACGTGGTCGCGGCACCCCGAACACCAGGCCGTATTCGACGCGGTGAAGTCAAGCTTGTCCACTGCGCCATCGTGTTTCGAAGCGTACTCGTCGCTGCTACCTCGACTGCAGTGACCCTATATGCGACACGTACAGCGCACACCTCCTCATCCCCCCGTCGCCAAAGATGTGCTGACCCGATGTAATTGCGAGAATCGTAGTCTGGGCGGCGCGAGGGCGCGTTAGCAGGGTGTTCCTCGTGCCAAGTTTTGCAGTGGATAACAAAGTTGTATTCGGAGAACCGCCATCGCGTTATGAGCTGGGATAGATGCGGGCTCTTCTTAGCTGTCAGCAGCGACGCGTAGTCAGTGTAACCAGCAAGTCCGTTTGTTCACTCAAGACGTACACACGGAACTGGACGAGTGCGTAGCATATGGCCAAGTCTAGCAACATACGGGCGTGCTCCGAGATTATCAAGTATTTGGAGGTGCCGACGTGTTTAGCGCGGCGTCGGTTGTCTTCAAGCAGTCACTCTCGCGTTGACAGGAACCTAATGGGTTGTGTACCAAGTAGACCGCGTCGACCATCAGTGTGTCGTCGTCCCGCTGAACGATGATTTCCGTGCTCGACGAATACACGAGTTTCACTAGACTCCCAGTGATGGACACCTCGGTCGCGAGAAGCCTTTTGCGCCACTGTCGTGACTACAATTGGCTCAAAATGTATAAGTGGGTGCGCAAGTGGGTCGGCTCCCACGGAGCGTGCCAGCGCGTAAAGCCTTCACTGTCTAACCAGGCTCCACTTCGACCTCTCTCCCAATCGCAGCAGTTCTGTGGGCACCTCCGCCCTCCTCGACCGGAACCGAGAGGTCCACAACCAGGTGGAGCTGGTACTCCAGGAGCGGTGGCTTCGCGGTAACCGCCAGCTCCTTGTGAAGTGGAGGGGTTATGCTCACTTCGAGAACTCGTGGGGGCCGATGAAACGACTCCAGGCAGACTGCCCGAAGGCTGTCGCGATCTGGGAACAGAAGCGGCTGCAGCTTCGTAAGTAGTCCGGTGCTTCTTGCACGAACGGGGTACGGACGTTG